ATTTTGAGGAAGGGTCTCACTGGGTTGCTTATAGCCTCAGCTAAATTGCTGAGGCTGAGATCCTCCCGAGTCACTGGGATTATAGGTGTGTCTCACTATGTCCAGCACGGATATCTTTAATAAAGATCTTAAGCATGTGAGAGGTTATTCATTTGGACCTTGTAATTTTCCATTTAGAACAGAATTAAATGTTAAATGTTAAACTTCAACATAACAATTATCTCATTTTAATTTGAAAGAAAACTAGATTACATAGCTTTACACAATTTTTGTGGGGGGTATGCTGCTCAATCAAATTCCAATAACAGGAAACTTTTTAAATTTCAAAACCTTGCAGCAGAAGAAATCAAAATTCCATACCTCAGTCACTGCTATAGAAAAGCTGAAGCTGGGAAGGGTGGTGAGTACTACACACATCATCAGAACGGGTCTCCTAGCAAAGGAGAAAAAAAATAAGCAAAGCAATAATGTACCAGATCGACAGTTCCTGTTACATTTTGCTAATTTTGCAGTTCCTGTTCCATTCATCTATAGTTTTTCTAAGAAGCTAACTGCTTCCCTATTTCCATTTCCCAAATGTTTGAGGATGGCAAAAAGGAACATGTGCAAAAAACAGAATTGTTTTCTCGAGCAAAGGGGAGACGGATTTCCAGATAATCTGAATAACTAACAAACCACAGAATCTTGAAAGCATCAAAGTACCCATTCAATGACATTTAACATTTCCGTAATTTATTACTTCAAAACCTACTCAAGAGGACAAGCAAGCTCTGGGGACCAACTAAGAAAAAAAAAAACAGTACAAATTCTCAAGCAATACTGTACCCCATGTTGTAAAACTTATTTTTTTAATTAAATTTAGGAATGACAAACTAATAGATAAAGATCATTTAAAGTAAAAACATTTAAACTTTTTTTTACTTTAACCAAAAAAAAAAAAGTCACACATTTATAAAAATGACAAAATTTTCAAACTTCTTTTTGGATCACTTCTGAAAACTTACATAATAAATAAATCAAATCATCAAATGGTTATGGAGATATACTATAACTATAATATTATATCTTATGACAGAGAAAATTAAATGGTGTTTGGCTTCACTGATTTATGAGAAGACAATTCAAAAGTTTTTTATGATGAAATATTTACCTTCTCTTTTCTTAAAAACATTTTTATATTAATTACATTTATATAATACGTTTTGAACATTTTCAAATTGTTAATAATTTCTGCTTGACTTTATCATGCATGCCCTGTCCTTGCCTTCTGGTAGATGTTGTAGGTGTAGACATAAGTTAGCAGGGTAGAATGTCCTCACTCTTAGCCAGACCCAGCAAAACATGGCTAACACCAGTTATGATGGGATTTGAAATTGGTAACTTTGCTTCTTTGTGTGAGTCCAGACCTGTGCTCCTGCAATACACAGCTCCCTAATGGAGAAGTCAAGATGGTAGAGTACAGAGAAGAGAAAAGCTAAGGCTACATTTGCAGTTGCTGCTTGGCTGGGAGTTCATGTGGCAGGAGTATTTTTCCTCCCGTGAGATGGGTCAAAGAGGGAATTCACTGAAATTCAATATCAGACAGAGAATCTTAGGACTCTGAAATTTGGGTGCATTGAACAAAAGGGGGAAAAAGGAGTAAATTGGGGCCAAGCTAATTGTTGCAGTGGCAGCAGCACCGGTTCACCACAGAGGGGAGAAATAAAACAAGCACAGGCAGAAAAACAATGGACAAATTTGGTATGGAAAATCCTGTGGGACAGAAAAGTAGTCTGAACTTAAATGAACTGGAGGTTGTACCATGAGCTAGTGTTTGACAAGTGTTCCGTTTCTCAACTGGTAAGTGGAGAGTTGAAGCAAGAGCCACAGGTTGTAGCTTGGTGCTATAGCAATCCTGGAGAGCACAGCAAATATACTGTTCTGGAAAGCACCTGCCCTACATCTGAGAGTGTGCCTACCAGAACACAATTGAAACAGGCACACAGAAGATTTTACCTAGTGGGAATTAAGTCAGAGATAGGGAGAGGAGTGCAACTTGCTTTCCCTTGGAGTTTGGCAGCTCACACGATCAGCTTAAAAAAAAAAAAAAAAAAAAGCCAGAAAGCTGAACCAGTGGGCATGATTGCACTGGGGACTAGACCTGGAAAGGCCATATTCATGGGTGGTGGTATGTGAAACTCAGAGGGTTAGCTCCCTTACCCCACCAATACTGTTCTGGGAACACTCCTGAGATACAGATGCTCAGCAGAAACCATCATCTGCCCAACCCTAGGGGTGTGTTAATGTAATCTCTCTAGAGAAGATACCACCCAAAATAGTCCTGGAAGGCCTGTCAGAGCTAAGTCCCAGCTTCTGAAACTTCCCACTTAGAATTGTGCAGCAGCCCCACCCTGGGAGTATATCAGTCTGGTCTGTCCTGATAAATGTCCAATCCAGGGTACTTCCCATTCTATCCTGCCTTATACTGGTGAGAAAAGAAACTGAATGCTATTTCAACCAGCTTCAGCTTTAAGCCACTCCAGGTGGTAGCTTGGGGTTCAACACAAAAATAATAAGTGTTTAACAACTCCCAGCCTTTGCTTTCTCTATGGGTACACAGTCCAAGAATAAAGTACAAGAGGACACAGGCAGTGAACATCCATTCAAAGTTTTTTATTGAAAGTTTTTTCCATCTCAGTGGAGATAATTCTTTTGCATTAAGTATCCCCTCCACCCTGCCTTTTAAAATTCTTTTTAGTGTTCTTGCTGTGCTAATTGGTTCCTAGTTATTTATGCATATACATACTGTCTCTTTTTTATTATTCTTAGCATTTTCCATGATTGTTGTTTTTCTTTATCTTGTTTTTTGAGGGCTGGGGTGGGAGAGGGTTGTTCATTTATTTTGGCTTTTTTTGTTTTTGTTTGTTTCTCTTGTTGTCTCTCTCTTTTCTTCCCCTTCTAATAGCCAAACTCTCTTGTTCTTACTTTCATGCTCTCTTTACTTGCTTTGCTTCTTTTCTTTGTCTCCTTTTTCTTTATAGCTACCACTTGCTACATCTCTTCTGCTTTCTTTCACTTCATATTTGAATACTCTAAACCTTCTTGTACCTTCCTATCACATTTTCTTTTTCTCTTAATGAATTATATTTTTGCCATCTTTTATTTGGTTTATAAAATTGCTGCCCCCAGTTCATGGTGTTTCAGTTATTGGTATGGTAGATGGTATAGCTGACACTAGTTGCTTACCATAATGCTACATCTAGTTCATAGTTATGTTTTATTTTTGCTGTTGACAATTGTTGACCCCACTATTCCTGTTCCATTGAGAATGAGGAAAAGCTGAAAGCATTTCCTGTAAAATCAGGAACAAGACAAGGCTGTTTCCTCTCATCACTTCTCTTCAATATAATACTAGAAATTCTAGCCAGAGAAATTGGGCAAGAGAAAAAACAAAAGAAGTAAAAATGGAAAAGGAAAAAGTCAAATTATCTCTGTTAGTAGATGATATGATCCTATCCTTAGACGATGGGAAAACTTCCATCAGAACATAGCTAGAACTAATAATAAACTATGCAAAGTAGGGTTATAAAATCCACAAACCAAAATCAGTTGCTTTCCTGTGTACTAATAATAAATCTAGTCATAAAAAAATCAGGAAAAACCATCCCATTCACAATAGTTTTATTAATCCAACTAAAGGTGAAAGACCTCTACAATGAAAGTTATAGATCACTGAAGAAAGACATTGACAAAAACAAGATAGAAATACCTCCCATGGAGAAAGGCACACTCATACATTGCTGGTGGAACTGCAAATTGGTGCACCTAATATGGAAAGCAGTATGGAGAGTCCTTGGAAAACTGGGAATGCAACCACCATTTGAACCACTTATCCCACTCCATGGTTTATACCCAAAGAACTGAAAAACCACATATTATAGTAATACAACTACATCAATGCTTATAGCAGCACAATTTACAATTTACAATAGCTAAACTGTGGAATCAACCTAGATGCCCTTCAGTAGATGAATGGATAAAGAAAATGTAGTATATATACACAATGGAATATTATTCAGCATTAAAAGAGAATAAAATCATGACATTTGTAGGTAAATGAATGGAGTTGGAGGATATTATGCTAAGTGAAGTAAGCCAATCCCCCAAAAACAAATGCTGAATGTTTTCTCTAATATAAGGATACTGATCCATACTGGGGATGGGGGATGGGGAGCATGTGAGGAATGGAGAAAATTTAGATAGGGCAAAGGGGAGGGAGGGGAAGGGAGTGGGCATGGGGATAGGAAAGACATGGGATGAGATGGACATCATTACCCCAAATACATGTATTAAGACACGAATGGTGTGACTCTACTACGTGTACAACCAGAGACATGAAAAATTGGGCTCTGAATGAGTACAATAAATTAAAATGCATTCTGATATCATATATAACAAATTAGAATAAATAAATAATTTTTAAAAATGCCTTTAGGAACTAGAAAAAAAGAAAGTCATATAAATAAAAACATACAACATGTAGTCAAAAAGAAAAAAAGAAAGAAAGAAAAGAAATACCTCCCATGTTCATAGGAAGGCAGAGTTAATATTCAAATGGCCATATTCCCCAAAGCATACACATATTCAATGCAATTCCCATCAAAATACAAATTACATTCTTCACAGAACAACAACAACAAAAAAAAAACAACCACAGTCCTAAAATTTATTTTAAAAACTAAAAGACCCAAAATAATCAAAGCAACTCTAAATGAAAAAAGCAATGCTGTAGGCATCACAATACCTGTTCTTCAAATTATGCTAGAGAGCTACAGTTACAAACACGGCATGGTGTTGACATAAAAACTCATGCACAAATCAATGGAATAAAAGAGAAGACACAGAAATAAACTCAAACAGATACAGTCATCTGAACCTTGACAAAGTTGCCAAAAACATACTGGAGAAAATTGTGCTAAGAAAACTGTGTATCTGTATGTAGAAGAATAAAACTAGAGCCCTATCACCTTGCACAAAAGTCAACTCCAAAATTGATCAAAGATCTGCCGGTAGAGCACTTGCCTAGCATGTGTGAAGCAGTGGGTTCGACTCTCAGCACCACAAATAAATAAATGAATAAAATAAATGTCCTTCAATATAAAAAAATATTTTTAAAATGACCTAGTAAGTTGACCAGAAATTATTCAATTCCTAGAATAAAATGTAGGATCAACACTACTTTATACAGGCACAGGCAATGATTTTCTCAGTAGAACTCCTAAAGCTCAGGAAATAATACCAAGAATAAATGGGATGGTATTAAATTCAAAAGCCTCTGCACAGCAAAGGAAATAGCAATGTGACCTACACGATGGATAAAAATCTTTGCTAGCTATTCTTCCACAGAAGATTAATATCCAGAATATATGAAGAATTCAAAAAATTTAACACCAA